TTATTTACATAAACACTTGGTGAAGGCACATCCAGACAAATTAAATGAAGAACAGAAGAAAGAAGACAAATTCCATTGGACTTGGGATTATTTTATCGCAGAAAGCGATATAAAGGCAACATGCAAAGAATGTAACTTAACAATTAAGTACCAATCAGCATCTTGTCTCAAAAAGCATTTAAAACGTATGCACAAGTAAGTATACTCCAAGTAAATTTAAAAATTAATTAACGTACTAAAGAATATAAAATTAATAGCAGTAAACTGATTAATGTCGATTAAAGAAAATGTAACGCAAACAAATATACTCAAATAAAACTAAACAGATTTATTAAACAAACTAAAAAATTTATTAAACAGATTTTGGGTGCATGTCGTTAAATATGATTTGCACTTCAAGCATTATAAACGTACAATGAATAAAAATATTAAAAATTTATTGATATAATATACAAATTAGAAATTATAATCAAATATCTTATATATGTGTATTGATACTGCGCGCAATTATAAGAATAGGGAATGCAGAACAAGAATTTTTATCTGTGAGGAACTATGTATTCCACAACATATGATTTCTGAAAGATTGAAATTTTTATTTAATTTTTTTTTCCCAATCTTTGTTCTTTTGATTGCACAATTCCTTACGAAACTAAGTATTCAGTATTCATTTATGTTACACAGTCTCATTGAATACAAACTGAATGTTTCAAATTTATTATCACTATATTTAGTATAAAAAAAAATTAGTAATATTGAAACATTCTGTTTTCACTCGATAATTATCAAATTTACAGAACATTATATCAATTTAAATCTGCTTGATCGCTACATTCTTGATCGCTACTCCTAAATGTTCAAATAATAGATTCTAAAAAAATTATAATTCAGTCCGTACAGCGGAATATGTACATAATTGAAATATCTATATATTATAATATATCTACTGTACTTTTTATTACTTTTCTAATAACTTCTTATGTGAATGTAGGATATTAGGTCCAAATTCAGATCGTGTAGATAACAAGAGCAATTCAGATAATGATACGAGTACAAATGAGGATATAACTCCAAAGACAGACAATTTTATCTCAGATCATCTTTGAATACGTAGACGTTACACAAAATTAACAAGTAGAAATGAGACAAGATGCAATTATTGCAATGCAAAATTCAATATACATAATAGATTGTTAGCTATTTTACATAAACACTTGGTGAAGGCACATCCAACATATTAAGTAGAAGAGAAGAAAGAAGATAAATTCCATTGAACTTGGGATTATTTTATCGCAGAAAGCGGTACAGAGGCAACATGTATACTCTGTAATGTAACAATTGGGTCCAAACTTACAAGTTTAACACTACACTTGAAACAATGTCTTATGTAAGTATATTCCAAGTAAATTAAAGACATTAATTAGACATTCTGCAAAAATGATAGTAATTAAATAATCAGTGTCAGATAAAAAATGTGTTACGCAAATACCCTTGGTATTTACTCAACAAAAAATTTGTTAAATAAATTTGTGATGCGAGTCGATAAATAAGATTTATATATGCATCTATTCGTATTACATATACATATGTGTATACACATATTTATATTATACACAAGGTGTAATGCAACTAACGCTCACTAAGCATACAGTACTATTCCTAATAAAAATGCTCAGTCAAAGAATCCTCTACTATTTTGCAATTTTCGCAATAGTTAACGAGATATTAATTTCTATAGATTGCTAAAACGGATAAAATCGATGAATAAGACAATTTTAAGATATCCTTGTATTCTTTGTGAAATATTATGAAGGTGTTTCTTGAAGAACTCTTTAATAATATTTTAATAAAAGTTGTCTTGTATGTCAATTTTAGCACATTAGGTAATTAAAAAAATATTACAAAAATTGCAAAATGATAGAAGCCTTTTCTTTTCAGTTTTTTATTAGTAATGATATAATTAATGGGCGTTTTTTCAAATTGAAAATTGTATATAGATACATTATTTATTAAGATTTTAGTTTTATTATATTATGCACACACACAAACACACACACACACACACACACACACACACACATTTGTGTCTTTTTGAATGAGTGTGTGTATGGGCGTACATATTCACTGTGTGCGTGCGTACGTGAATGCGGGCATGCGTGCGAGCGCGTGTACAAATGTAGGCATAAATATGCATAATTTATATAACTTTTTCTATAAAAATCATTTTCATTTCAACGTTACAACATTTTTATAATATTCTTGAAATGTTTCAAAATTTCCTGCTGAGATTGTCTTTAGTACGTTTAGTACGTTCCACAGTAGGGGAAGCCTGGGCAGTGCAGACGTGTTAAGATTGAGATGAAAAAATTACACAATTAAAATTGAGATCAGAAATCATTTTTATTCTCATAAATCTCTTAAAGAACTAAACTTTGAAATAAAATTAAAACAAATTTAAAAACTTGGACAATAATATGTCGTTTTAGTTAAAACATTAAAATAGAGAGAAGCCATCCACTTTGCCCGACCCCACTCTGGCCAAAGCGGTTACTCAAGCAATGCAAATGGAATTAAAACAATTAAAATCTTGGCGATTGTTACAAAAATTATCAAACAACAAACTACTTTATATGTAGTGCAGCCTTCATGGGTCCATTTGATGCAATGACTGTACTAGATCAGTCACAAACAAATCATCATAATGCATTGTGGCAAATAATAAACAAAAATGATATGTAAACAAACACATGCCTTTCATAAACTCGAAAGATCGTCTGTCCTTCCGTATTCCCAGTATTTTCTGTAACCATACGAAGATAAAGAGGATGGATCATCCGCTTTGTCCCCATTCGCTTGGCCCAAAGGACCTACCTGGCACGAATTTGGAAAAGTTAGAAAAAGTTGAAGCACCAAGTGAAAAATTTTAACTTCGAATACAAACAGAGAATTCTTATAAAAAAATCATTCACACTGATTAAGAAACAATTACAGATAATAATTAAGCTACATATCTAAATAAAATCATAAGAAAACACTCAATTTTTTATATATTTCTATTAAACATAAACGAACGGAATGATATTTTGATTTCTACTTTCATACCGTTACTGGTCGATAATTCCTTTAACTGCTAGAGACTCATAGCACAATCTCAAATAGATAAGCAAAAATAAAAGGTATTCGCCATATCCAAAGCGTCCATTTTGCACGGGCTCCCTTATATGATTTTCTGTTAGTTTTAAATTTTAATTCTTTAGTCCCCTTTCTTATTCCAATGATTTCAATTTTGCACAGTTTACAGTCCTTTACAAAAGTAATAAGTATTTGTACATTGTATAGTTTCATTGAATATAAATTAATAGCGATTTTCATTGGCGGAGCTCGTGCGCACTCAGTGCACTTTAAGCCGTTGTACACAAATTGACGTAAATATGTATGTTTAATAAAAATATAAAAAGGAATTAAACTGCGAAATCCTCAATACATTTTATTGTGCTATTTGATAAAATATACATTGAGTATTATATTAAGATATAAGAAGAGATATCTCACTTTTACATTCAGATTAGATAAGTGTACAAAAAAAATTAATAATATTCTTTCGCTTTAATGTGCGCATCAGTTCTGCTAGTGAAAAACGTTATAAATCACATGATTCAAATTTACTATCATGTTCAGTATACAAAAAAATTAGTAATATTCTTTCCCTCTCGAATGTTCTAATTCTCACCAACTAATTATCACAATTATAGAATATTTAAACTTACTTAATTACTACATCCTTGATTGCTCTGTTAAATGTTCAATCAGTAAGTTT